CTTTAAAGGTATAGGAAAAATTCAGAGTGCATGCTCATTGAGGGGTGGTCACACCTTGGAGGCGAGTAGTTTTTGGGATGGAGGTGTGGGTTTGTATTATAATGAGATTATAGTGAGCAAAGTTCCCCTAAACGACAGCATTTTGTCAAAAGATGGCAGACTTGGCCCAGGGTATCAAATATGCAGCTTATCAGTTCCATAGTACCTTCAAGTTCCCATATCAGTACAGAGCCTGGCTGCAGTACTCAACTTTCTGTTGAAAACTCAACTGCAGTGCTCCACTTTCCGCACAGTTCCTCTTACAGTCAGCACACCAAGTTCCCCTAGTGATGTTAACATCTAGGGTTGCCCAAGGAACTACCGTGGTAGAGATTCTCTGCATATCGGCCGCACTCCACCCTGGAAGTCTCCTCAGTACTGTGAAGTCTTTTCTTAAAATATGAATGTAAGTTTAATTTCCAAGTCACCTCCAGTAATTATTCCACACAATGCTACAGTGCAAGAGATGTCATCACTTACCTGTACAAACAGGCAAGAAAGTGCCCCATACATGTAACACCGGATGATATGAGAACAGAGAGAGATGTGGCTTTCAAATCCCACCAGCATGCAGCAGGGCATATCTGGTGAGAATGTACTTTATAATTGCTCAAATGTTACTGCATCACAATTATCTCAGAAACCAGGGAACTGAAATCAGATGTTAATATGAAACTAAACAAATTGCAGACTGATGTTCTGAAGTGAAAAGGATCTTGCAGGCTTTTCCCATCCTAAACACCTTCCTTTCTTCTCCAGAGTTACCAGTTTTCTCTGAACTATTCCCTTCTTCACATGCATATAGCCAACAGTCTGAGGAAGATTTGCAAAAGCAAAAATGGTATCAATGCATATAACTATCTTTGAAATCCAGTGACTGTTAAAGTACCACAACTACCATTGGTATTTTTGCAAAACTAACAGCATTCCATCTCCTTCCTGGCCCTGGGCATGGCTCAAAGTCTACTGAAGTCAATGATCACTGAACTACAGACATCACTTGCAGTGACACTACAGAACTCCTGCTGCTTCGAAACATTTAATAAATGTTGAGTATCACTTTCATGCACTTTGCTTTTATTATAAATTATATCATCCTGCAATAAGATATCAGAGTCCATCTCCATTCATCATCCTATACTGACACGGGTCTATACACAAAACTTCACCCAGAAGACAGGGCTGTAAGTTCAAGTCCAAAGCTGGGGTAGATTGATCAATAAAAATACCTATTTTCCATCAGGTGAGCATTTGGCCTGTTTATTTCAGTTGTTTGGAGGCCTTAGTCTGGTAAACTAGATTTTAAGAAACTAGACACTGGATTAAAGAAACCTATAATTGATATCAGAAATCCTGATAATGAGATTATTTCATTGAAGACCACCTTGAAACCTGATTTCTATCAGTAGCAGAATGACTGAAGGCTTTTAATTTTTTTTTTTTTTTAAAGACTCAACTCTGATTAATGGTTGGGACTCAGAACAAGACTACAGTTATTTTGCAAGATTTTAAGAGCAATGTTATTACTGTCATATTCCAACTATTTTTAAAAAAATACTTATTTTTAAAAGAAAGCCCATAAAATTAAAACTGCTCTCGTTTTACTAGTACTTTACACTTGTCCTTATTGAATTTCATTAGATATCTCCCTGCCCAGCTCTCCAGCCCGTCTAGGTCACGCTAAAGTAGTTCAGATGCTGCCTTCAAAGAACAATAAAGTATTCCTAAAAGCAGATGTCAAACATTTGGTAGCTTAATTTACACAAAAAGAAACCTACAGCTGCATACAAATACACAATGTACTGCTGATGCCTAAGATTTTCTTCCTTTTGCATCCCTCCTCACTAATAAGAATAAGAAATAGATATATTTAATTTTTTTACTGGAGAAAAACCTGCACCACAAAACACTCATCAGGTAGGAAATGTCAAATTAAGTGTGCCTCAAACTACCAGAATCATGCCCTCGTACCTAAGCCTAGAATCACAGAATCTTTTAGGTTGCAAAAGACCTTTAAGATCTTCAAATCCAACCATTAACCTAGCATTACCAAGTCCACCACTAAACCAGCTCTAATAGCTCCAAAACAATTTCCTCCAGTGGAAAACACTCTTGCACCAATTCCAAATTCACCAGCAGCATTCAGGAGTAGTGTGGCACAAGGTCATTTGTTGGTATGACTGCTCACCGTCTTGGCCATGGCCAGAGCAAGGCCAGGTAGAAGGTGAGAAAGGTGAGAGACAATCCCCAGAACATGCTTGAAGAAGTCTTTGCTGTCTCCAGGCTCTGACTAACAACAGCACTACTGAGGTGGTGGGTTGAGAATGTGCTGGTGTCCAGAGCATTCATTTGGGAGTCCTCAAAAATTATATCATGTTCTAAAATCATTCTGGGGGCTAGTGGGGAAAAAAGGAGGAAAGGGAGGCAAGAAATATAAGCAACAGAAGGAAGGAAAGAAAAAAGAGCTGGAGCTAACAAAGGAGAGCAGGTACCTTCTGGTACTTCAGCACCAGAACAAAGAGAACAGGAATTGCGTTACTTAGCAAAGATCAGTCTGAAAGCAAACCCTGATGTTAGCCTGGAGCTGTTTGTGAAGCCATTGGTAAGGTTTTTATTCAACACATAGCATAATGGTCCTTGATCTGCAAGGAGCCTGCAAAGCTGCAGTGAAACAAATAATAAACCAAGTTTTATTAATTTCTTTTCTTCTGCCCCACCCCAGTCCACCAGAACACTAGAAACTCAGATCTGACCCACAAATGTCTCTGTACATGCATAACCGGTAATCTTTCTACTGAAGTCTTGGAGGTGATGCACAAACTACACCTTACTGTGCTTGCATGACTGAGCCACAAATTTCTTTCTTGTCAATGCTGTCATTCACATACACTGATTTTTTTTTTCCCTTTTCTAATGAAACAAACAGGGAGGATTTTATTTCTGAAATTCAGTCTAAAATAATGTCTTAGGAAAGCAAAACACCTTTGTGGGCTAGCATAAAGGATTACTACAAGGCTCCGTGGAAAAATACTGGTTTTTTGTTTGCTGATGCAAATCCACCATAATCAAAGAGAATAAATATGTAGCAATACTGCTGCCCTCCTGGCTCTAAAACACATCGGGATTTTTAATTTCTAGGTGAATGCTTGAAAAACGTAAAATCAGAATTTGCTTCTGCAAATTGTTTTAACATAAATATATTTAGGCATCAAAACTTCTGTTACTAGTCCCTTGAAAGTTCATTCGTAGGACTAAATTATTATTATTCATAATAATTATTCATAAGCCCAGATAAAAATCTGTAGACTATTACTAGGCTTCATTTCACTTTTATGACTCCTCAAATAAATCAATCACATAAAATTAAACTCAACATGGGGAGTTAAGTTCTCAAGAGAGACCATGGAGATTGCAAACGTTAGTCAAATAGCTGAAATGGATGGTTTATACTGAATACTTCAAAGCCCTGAGAGATAGCTGAAAGTGTTAATATACAATGAGCACTGATTCAAGAAATCATAATAGAAGTGTCTCTTACCAAATTATGCAACTCTAAGTAAAAAACCCACAACTTCTATAACTGCTTCTCTAACTGCACAGAATTTTTATTACATCAAGAATCTTGTAAGGATTCGCAGCAAAATCATCAGTCTTAAAACTAGCCTTAAAGTAGCAAGCCTGTGGTTGTCCTGGTAACTGTCAGTATCACATTTAGTCAAGAGTCTTCCATGAAGACAACTACCTTCTCAGCAAAGGGCACATGGAATTATTCACACCGCACACGTAATAGTGAACGCAAACCACTGCGTTTTCAGAGATAATTAGAAGCAATTTCCTTTCTTTTTCTTTTTCACCCACATACTGCTTCAGCATAAAGTATGGTGCTATCCACACATTCAGGTGTTCAGAAAAAATAGTACAGATTGATCATATATCCAAAGGCAGATTTTTTTGGTTCAGAACTACATTTTGTGTGTTGCAGGTTCAGGTAAGTGCAATACTGCTATCATACAAACATTTCACCTCCCCCCAAAATTATAATCTCTTACTTAGATCACAATTAAAAGTGAGATAAATTATTTGATTCTCTGTCTGTGCAGCTTGAAACATCACAAGTACCTAGTTTCAGTGGATTCACAAGTCTGATCAGAGGAAACTCAGAACTGGAGTAAGAAAATGCTGGAGGTCAAAAATAGAATTTATTAAGAAAATACACATGAAAGCTTAGATAGTGGGTATGTGAAGGTATGTTGCTCAGTTTTATATACGTCAGCAACACAGTATAACCCTGCTGCCTCACCAGTGTTAAATTAATTTTTCCTAATTTTTAAAATTGTTCCCTTTCCTTTGCAAAAAAAAGACCCAAACAACAGGGAAATGTGAGTGGCTACATAAAAACAACAAAACTGTAAAATATTCTGGTCAATTGCATAAATAAATAACCCAGAAAAAATAGAATTTAAGGTAAATTTATATGATACTACTAGTAGCAAATAAAATCTCTGACTTGAAAGACTGACTTTTCCTGTTGATTTTGAATGAGAAAGAAATGGGTTACAAAGTTACGATCATTTATAAAATGGAGGTGTCATATTTCATAGCCTCTGAATAAGAAGCGCCTTGAGTATCACAGAAAATGTCATTAGCACACTAAAGCCTCACTTTTGAGGTTCTTTTAGTACAAGGCGTCCTACTGCCCGGAACCTGCTCCACAAACCATTAAATTGTTGGAAACCTGGCATGAGACCACAAGGCAAAATAAAATGAAAAAATAGGGAGCTGGTGCTTCTTTCTGGGTAAATGCTGTAATTCAAGTGTGTGTTAGAAATCATTGCTATCTCCATACAGAATAAAACAGTAAAAATAATGCAGAGACACACACCTCACAAAACTGGCCATAAGTGCAGGCATGCCACTAACATTAACTGCAGGTTTACTTCTTAAATATTTCAGAATCCTACCTTGTTATTGACTTCAGCATTTTTCTTCTTTGTTTCTCCAATGTCCAAATAGCTGTGGAAGGAAAACAGTATTGATTATTTACAGAAGCATCAAACTTAGAAGTATAAATATTTCTACACTTTTTCCATATATGAAGCTTTTAAAATGTATCATGACTCAAAATAACATAAAAAGTAAGTAATTCAAGATTTTATTGAAGGATTGTTACTATAAATCTGCAAGCTAGCCCTCTAGGCTAATACAAAACATGGGAGAACCAAACATCCACCTTCAAGTCACTGGTGATTAGAACAGAGCATCAATACACACTTGTCAGAAAGAAGCTCACATACTACTTCAAAGCAGATCAGTAAATCTCAGCATGATATCAACATACCAGAGTTTTCAAAGTCATCATCTTGCCTCTTTGTTTCTCACAGTAAATCTCTGATAGATGTAAAGCTTTCCTTCATATCCACGTTTAACCCAGGTCATCAGCTAAAGTTTAGAAGTATCAGCTAAAGTTTAAAAGTGATGTTTAAACACCACTTGTGTTTCAACAGGACGTGGACACATCTGAACATTGTATATCCTGGTTTCTTATGATTGCAATGAACCAATGGCATCTTCAAAATTATTTTATGAATAAACAAAATACATGCCTCAACTGGACAAGAAAACAAAATACATCTATCTGAACAACACTGCTCTCCATCAAAGTAGATATTCCCACTTTTTGTTTTTACATTGCATTAACACGAAAGTGTTACTTAAAAAACACAGTGATGGATTAGCTGTATATTGCCTTTCCAAAGAAAGGGAATTAAATAAGCCTTTAAGCATGAGTAACCCATAGACTGGCAATTATCATTCCCTAATTACCATTCTGTCTACAACCCAGTTAAAAACAAGATCAACATTAAGCCCTTCAGCCTGTCTTAAATAAAGCTTGTAAAAGCACTGCCTACATTTACAGCACTATATAAATAAATACTAATAGTGAAGAACTCCAACTCTAAAGCAGAAATGGAAAAGATCTCAAGTCATCCCGTTTATCCTCCCTTTGGCACAGGACTATGGCATACTATCAAGCGATATATAAAACAGCCTGCTTTTATCAAGTCCTGCAGGTTAGCTTTTCTCTTTGTTGACTTTATCTTCTGGATACGGTATCTTCTGGAATGTTGCAACTATAAAAGTCTGAAAAACTCTCACCATAAACTCTGACCGTAAAACACGAAATGACAAAAATAAATGTTTTTTCCCCATCAAAAATAAATACAAAGTGCTGAATTCTCTACACATTGCATGCTAATGCCACTTACTTTTACCTTGTCTGTTGAACATAAAACACATTAGGAAGGTGAAACATGATGTGCTAACAACTTCAAGCCACCCACAGAATAACAGAATTTAACACTGAAATGATACAGGAGAACTTTCTGAGAGTTGAGCACTGTATTTGACATGGAATAGAGTACAGAGGGAAATGGACGTATATTTAGCCTGTCATACCTCTTCCTCTCTATCTTTGCCACTGAAGTGCAAGAAACTTCAAAAAATCTTCCAGAAGCAGGCAGTGGCAAAAATACTAGGAGTGCTGATAGAGTTCCTGTTCATTACACAGAGAATTTCGTCCTGAAACATAATGACCTCTACTGAAAAATGTAGAGTCTTCAACTCCACACAACCAAGATGAGAGAGGTCCTGTGAAGCTGGTAGTTTAGCATATAAATTCCCCACCACCTCCAGAATGCTATTTCTAATTTTGAGATTTTTTTTTTAATTCAACTGTAAGAAAAATGCCCACAAAGACTGAACAAAACATAATTAGGCAACTGAGACCATGAAATTCACTGCCAGAATTAAGAACCATTACTGATCACATGCAGAGCCACTTAGGAAACACACCTAAAGTCCCAGATGTCCTCCACAATATTCTCGTAGTCTAGAAAACAGAGAAACTGTCAGCTTAATTCTTGGTGTGTAAGAAGGTAAAAGAAAGCAACCAGTCATCTTCTAAATAATGGGAGGGACTCAGCTATTCTGGTCGTAAAAAGGCTATATACCTACCCAAAATGAACAGCAGTGATGATGAGGTGGATAGCTGGGTAGGATATTTTATAGTTCTTAAAATCAAGAGAGAAAGGAAGTGTTGGGAATTAAATTCCCAGGCTCATGAACTTCACGGCAGAATTGTCAACAATCCACCTTTCTACAGCTTTCTTCCTGTTACCACTACGCAGGAATACTGACACTTGCCTCTCAGTTAAGCACACACATCACAACAACATGCCATTGCCACATGTCTTTTGGGTTAAAGGGCTGTTTCTCCTTTTCTACTGTCATGTCAAGGATATGGCACTGTGTGACAGATGGTAAAACAGCAGCCCAATAAAAGGGGTCGGGTGTCCTCTGAAGTACTGCTGTAGTACCAAACCCCAAATCCTGATATTCAAGTTCCATATAATTATTATGTTATTTTTTAGCCACTCACTTGAGTTTCTTGAAGCCTTCCCTGCCACCAGCCACATACTGTTCTCCGCTCTGAAGCTCCTCCAGCTGCCGGACACGATGCCCGCTCCGGGGAGTATAGATGTTATGCACAGCTCCAAAGGGTGCCTTCACCCTGCCTGTCACCTCTTTCAGGAAGACCTCAAAGTTGGACATCTTCTTCTCATTGATGACAATGCGGTGCCCTGGGCAGAAAGGGTCCCCGTTGCGATAAACCAGCACACTCTTCACCATCGGCTGGGAGAGCCATGACCCTTTTGTCCCGGGACTAGTCATTCTCGGTGGCTTCAAACTGGGCTCCTGCACAACCCAAACTAATTCGATGTGCTGCCTGCACCTGTTTACTCAGGAGAGTGTTCCTTCCTGAGCTCCTCTCTCACCTGCCTGACAGGAATGAAGCACCCACACCGCCGGGGCCCTTCCAGGCAGGCAGAGGAGGGAGTTCGTCACCCTGGGGAGGGATTAAAGTCTCCCCGGGTTTTGCAATACAGTTCTTTTTAGGCTTCAGAGCGGCTCTTCCTAGGCAACCAGCTGTTACTGCTCCCTGGCACCTGGGGAGGTTAATGGGGTTTACGCTAGCTAACCCAGACAAAAAAACTCATCGCACTTAAGTGAGATTTGACACCGCAGGAAAACGGACTACAGCGGACCCGTGGCCTCTCAGGGTCTTTATCCTCCAGCTTCACAGAAAGCAGGTTGCACTACCACCCTATTTTACTCGTGAATTGTTTTGTGTACTCGCCCTTCCCTTTTCCCAGCCAGCCGAGAGCCCGCCAGGAACCTGACAGACCCAGAACTACCAGCCACACGCCAGGGGTAGAATAATGCAGGGACCACCAGAAAACATGGCTGAATTATTAACCATTAACCAGGCGATGGCTGGAGGAAGGAGAATGAGAACGTGTCGTGCCCACAGAGGCAGAGGGAGCCAGACCAAGGGCCCTACACCTCAGCCAGGGAGGGCAGTCCCGGCTCTGCCTTCTCCTCCCCGGCAGCCGGGGAGCTGCCTACCTCCCTGCAGCCTACGAACGCTCGCCGCCACAAAGGAAAGGCCCAACAACGGAGCCGCCCTGAGGGCGTGGCGGTGTGGAAACGCACGGCTAGCGGGGCGGGACAGGGTGGCGGCCGGGCCGAACGAGGCGGAGCTGCTGTGGGATGGCAGCGGGACGGCATGCTGGCGAGTGGCGGTAATGGTCTCCCGCGCCGCCGCGGAAGGCTCGCCTTTAACACGGATGTTGGTTAGTACAGGATTACCACCCGCGAAGTCTGTCCCGTCACCGGCTCAGGCCCCACCGTAAAGGGGCGGGAGATTGAGGCGGCGGCAGGCTGCGGTCTGGCGCCTGCCCAGCCGCTGTGTCTGGTTTGGCCCCGCTGGGGCTAGTGGAGGAGCAGGCTGCCTGCAAAACACGTATTTAATTCAAATTTTGCCAGCTCTTCTTGAGATTTCTTACTAGAGGGGTCATTTTTTCTCCTCTCAAGAATAAAACAGATTTTTACTCTACCTTCCAGATCAAGGTCATGAAAATGATAGGCAGCTGGCCCAGGGTGGAGGCAAGAGCAAGGCTCCGCCATCACCGAAAGGCAATTTCTACAACATGAATGACTGCTCTCTGCCTTGGCTTTCTTATTGTATTCCTTTGCTGTTTCTGATAAATGCTTTCTCCACTGCATACTTAGTTACTTACAGCCCGATTTTGCCTTTGGTTCATCATTAACATCTAATAATTACCACTTGAGTGTGCAGGATGGTCCATGTATGAAGCAAATGAACCACTGAAAAACAATACTGACTATTATTTATTCCATTGTTACTTTCCTTCTTGTCAGTTATTAAAAATCGCACCTGAAGACTGGAGCTTTGCTCTACATTGCCTGTTGCCACTTGCTGTTTACATTTGCAGCAATTCAGAAATAAAACTGGGCCATGATCTTGCAGGAAAAAACAATTATTGGTGGGGTTGAAATGAGGCTCTTGGACTACACAAATTAAATCCATTTATGTACAGCGACTTAATTTTTTTAATGTGCCTACTAACTTGATGTACATCGTTTTACACAAATATAAAATATACATTTTAGGCAAATGTAAAAATTCAATCAAGCGTGCATCTTATGGGCTTATTCAATGAACAGATAAGTCTCTGATGTGTACAAACAAATTCTGATGATAGATAACTTTTCTTTACTTGAAGACACTAGGTATGCTTGGGACATTACTTTTGTTTATACTTTTTAATGCCATATGCTTTGCTCTTTCCAGGAAGCTGTATAATGAAATAGAGAGACTTGGATTCCACTGGATTTTTGTTACACCTTGGTACAAGAAGACATTAAATGTGAGGGGAGAAAAAAAAAAAAGTCTTCAAACTGAATTCCTTTAACAGGCCTTTTTTTTCCCTACTGATTGTCACAAGACGAAAACTGGTCTAGACTTTTCTACCTGAAATTGTTTAGTATACAGCAATGATTGTTTTTCTAAATGGATTTCAACATTCATGATGGAAGGAATTTTTCTTCTCTGATGGAGTAACCCATTGCTGTGAGTTACAACATGGCAGTTAGAAAAAAAAAAAGAAAAAAGAGCAATTTCAGCATGAGGGAAGACAAATAGCTACTGTTACTGCTTAACAGTTAAATTTCTCTGTGCTGCTGGCTTTCTTCTAAATAATAAAGAGGAGAACCAAGCATATCACCATTCTCAAATTAATACAGTTTATTATCTATTGCAACATAAAATGAAAATTTGTATTAAAAGTATGCTTATGTGTGAAAAAAAATGGCCTTAACACCATTCTGCAGTTATGTAGTGATATGTCAACTATCTGCTGGTTTTGTGCCAGATTCCACCACTTTTGGTGATCTTAGGCCTAATTTGCAATCACACATCTTTGCCATAGGAATAAGTCACTGAATATTTTACTCATGCTTTCATTCTGACATGTGTGGTACCCCAAAATACTGTTGGTCTTTACCTGTGGCCATGCTAGTTACAATCACTTTTGTGGATTGCAATAAAATATGCCTTAAATGGTACCAGAACATTGCTAATCTTTGTCCAAAACTGGGAGCACATTATGAATAGTTTAAAGAACTGCAATGCAGAATTTCAACCCGCAGTTTAACCTTTATATAGCTAATAGCTGTGCCTCTAAAGACTTCTCAAATTCAGCTGCTTGCATTTCTGCCCTCTGTCCCTACTTGTGCTGCAGTGGAGTCTCACTGTTTTCTTGCTCTTAAGGCAACTCTGTCAAATTCAGCCTCTGAAAAGCAACTATGATTGTCCAGTCCACTGTTGGCTACAGAGCCCACTATTTCACACCAGGCTTTTCAGAACAAAACATTTCATTTTCTTCAGTAATGGGAACAAAGCAAAACAAAACCAGAGTGGTTCCAATACAGTATAAAGTCAGCATGTTTTCCATGTTGCCTAAGTAGGACCACTGAAAGCTAAGAAGAGCTCAAATGCTTCAGCCTGTGATAGCAGGACCTTCATCCATGAGAATCTGATCCATACAGCCTTTCCTTCCAGCCTGACCTCTTATCCCCAGTATTGTTTCTAAGTTAGCTCCTATCACATTCTCAACAGTAATGAGACAAGCTGCTGACCCCACTGACAGGATTAAGATAAATACAGGACACATAATCTCTTTATGATGGGATGAAACAAAGAAATTTGACTCAACAGCACAATTTCATACTGTTAAGCAGGTATTCTTTATTGCAGTGCTGGGGTAGCACTCCACCGTAAGCTTGGCACAATCACACCGCTTGTATGTCCATACGTATTACATATTCATTAGTCTTACAGAAATAATTTACTTGGTAAGGCCTTTTCCTGAGATAATTGTATTATGATTACATCAGCTTTTCCTTGATTATTCCACTGTCTTTGCTGCCATCTAGTGTCGTTTTGATGATAATACAGTCACTTCTGGTCGTCGTCGTCGGGTGGTCGAGTGAGGAAGTAAAGAGGAAGTGAGGACATCACTTGTCCTCAGGCTGAACTTAAGTTGATAGCTCTTAAAGCATGCTTCGGTAGATAGATGCTTGTCAAGATCACAAGTGATTTAGAAGTACAAAGGTTGCAACACTTGCCTATTCATCTCTCGGGTCTCCTGAACCTCTGCTAGACTTTAGTTAGATATTATCTAAACAACCTGTTTTTAAACAAAGTGCTACCGATTAAGGCTAATCCTGAGAGGAATTTCACACTCAACGGACAAGATTCAGCAGCTTCCCTTCAATCCCCCCTTTTCAGTATACTTGTGAATCCTTTTGCAGTCGTTCATATTTAATCACAGTGGGCAGAGCCCAAACTCTTTTTTTGTCAAAGTTTTTAATTTACACCAGAACGCTAAAGGCACTGTTGTTAGTAGTATTACCATAATTAACAATGCTAACAGAGGATGAATCTTGATGTTCAGAATCTTGGTAGCTGATGGTGAATAAGATGAAAAGATGTCCCACCAATGGTGAGCTGTTTCTGATTCAATTTGTCCCAATATCTCCTTTGTTTTATTTTGTGTTACCACGGTTTTCACCGAAGATTGATGTAAAGGTTTATTGTGTTGTCTTATGTGTTCTTTAAACTGTCTGGTGCTATTCAAAATCCTATTCGATCTCTCTAGTGAAACTCCTACCTTACTGATATCTAAAGATTCATAATGCCAAAATAAAGGCAACTGCTCTGTAGTTGTAGCAAAAAAAATATAAGAAGTACTTTTCCAGAATAAATGTGTGAAATTTTTCAAACAACCCACAAAAGGCACAGGTAGTCCAAATTCCATTGTTGTTCATTTATCATTAGTCACTATGCACACGTCTGGCATTAAACTCAATAAACATTTCTAATTCTGAGATTGGTAAAATTGTCCATTTGCAAATATTAACAGATTGGTGTAATAGACAAGGTTCTTTTTCCTCTGACCGTTGACTGCAAAGCATCCCGTCTATTGTGGATTCACATAGACTTAGATCATGGGTCTTATTTTCTGAGTCTATAAAATTCCCTTTGAACTGCAAGATCCAATACTCATTTATAAACGAGGTAGGTAATGTGATAAATCGGCATCACCTCTGGCTGTGTGACTAATAATAGATTAGTTTCCCAATACACCATTCATTAACACATTTCACATACTGGGAATAAGGTTTCAGCCAATGTTCCTGATTAATCCAAGTCCCAAACAATTGTCTCCACATCCATTCATTATTGCTCATCAGATATGATTGTACCCTACGCTTTTGCTGTATTTGGTGTATCGTTTGCATAGTAT